ACATTACTGGGAATTGAATAAAACGGGAATTACTTCTAGCTTTAAATTATTCATCTTCCTTGTAGGATTCATAACACAATCAGCATTTATAAAATCTTTTGAGCATATTCTAGTGTTTTTTTTTTAATTTAGTCAACTTCAACCGCTTGTATTTTTCACCGGTGTGAAGTTAGCAGTAAAAATAACCGAAAATACCCGATCGGGAAAACAGTGGCAGGACGCATACAACTATTTTAATAATCTTGTCAATATGTATTTTACACATTAATATCGACAAATAATTAATATACGGTTCAAAGTAACGCTTAAAATTGATAAAAATATTTATCCTACGAAGGAAATCAGATCCCAATTTAATTTTACATTTAAAAAATCATAAATACACTAACATACGCTGTAGGTAAACATTTCTTCGGGTCCGTTGAACAGGGTAAAATTATCCCATAAAATTCATAAAATAATTATCCTGTGAAGTGTTTGATATTTAAAAAATCAATAGTACACTTACTAACATACAGTTTAAGCAAAAATCTCTTCGGAATCGCCAGACAGGGTAAAATAAAGCATTCAAAATATAAAAAATAATTACCCTATGAATGCGATACATTTTCTACTTACTTTTACATTAAAAAATAATAAATGAACTTAACAATAAAGGATGAAGGCAAAAATCCCTTCGGACTCGTCTAACAAGGTGAAAATTACTTTTAAAATTAAAAATAAATACTTAAACTAGGATGGGTATCAAATTTCAACTTAATCTTACATTCATAAAATAAAAAATATACTAATATAAACAGTAAAAAAGTCCCTTCGCGTCCGTCAAACAGGGTGACACTTATAAATAAAAATAAATATTTACCCCATGAAGTGAAAATCCCTTCGAACCAACTTTCTGTCACAATCAAACAAATAAATTTAATATAACATACTGTAAGCGAAAATCCCTTTGGACCCGTCGAAAAGGGCGAAATTAACCCTTAAAATCCCCAAAAAATTATTATCTCATGAAATTGATCAAATTCATACTTGGTTTTACATTTAAAAAATCATAAATACCCTCACCAAAGTACCCTGTAAACTAAAATCTCTTAGGACCCGTTAAATAGGATGAAATTAACCCTTAAACTTCAAAATAAATAGCAATCCTATGAAGACAATCAGATTCGAACTTGGTTTTACATTTTAAAAATCATAAATACACTTACTAAAATACGCTATAAGAGATAATCCCTTCCGACCCATTAAACAGGGTAAAATTAACCATTAAACTTCAAAATAAATAATTACCCAATGAAGACAATCAGATCCCAGCTTGATTTTACATTAAAAAAGCATAAATATACTTATCAAAGTACAATGTAAGCGAAAAACTCTTCAGACCCGTCAAACAGAGAGATATTAACCCTTTAACTTTAAAATAAATAATTACCCTATGAAGACGATTTTAAACTTGATTTTAAATTTAAAAAATTATAAATAGACTCTCCAAAGTACATTGTAAGCAAAAATTCCTTCCGACCCGTCAAACAGGGTGAAATTAACCCTTCAACTTTTAAATAAATAATTACCCTATGAAGACGTTCAAATCCCAACTTGATTTTAAATTAAAAAAATCATAAATACAATCACCAAAGTACACTGTAAGCAAAGTCTCTTCCGACCAGTTAAACAGGGTGAAATTAACCCTTAAAATTTAAAGTAAATAACCCAATGAAGACGATCAGATCCCAACTTCGTTTTACATTAAGTTAGCTGATGTGAAAAGCCTTTTATCACAAACTATTGAAAATGTAACCCCTAAAAATTGGCATAAACATGTAATTAAGGAAAAAGAAAAAATTTATACATTGAATGGAATAATGAATGACATAAGAGCCCTTAATAACTTTCTACACTGGAAGCTTAGATGAAGTGGAATTTTTGAATCCGAATCTTCTGATGTAGATTAATATATATAGGCACTACTCATGTATTTTTTCTGTTTTTTTTTACAAACTTTCTTAATAATAATTATATTATAGCAAATATGCAAAATAAATGTACTACTATTCATATGTTGTTTTTAAAACCCATATTTAAAAAAAAACTACAAAACTATACATTGTAGTATGTATCAAAAATTGATCAAAATATTACCTTTTTGGTTTTCTGCTTTAAAAAACTCACAACTTTATTACTGATTTTTTAAAACTAAAAATTGATAAATTTCTTACCAAAAATTAATAAAAGTAGCTAAAAATTTAAAAATTAAAGTAAATTTTATTTACAAAATTGTTAATTAACATTTGAAACATTTACTTCATTAGAGATAACCTAATTTAGCATAATGAGCTAACAATACTTCTACAACAAATATTTAAAACATATCTACTTAAAATTAATAAGTACAGTACATAAGTAGGTATAAATAGTTCACTTTAAATTAAAAAATATAAAAATTACAAGTGCGTGAAATTGGCCCCCCAATGATATTTATAAAAAAAAACAATTACCTGAATGCACTACTGATGCACCAATATGCACCACTAATAATTTTTTTTGCACCACCTTCCTTGAGAAACTACATCTATCTCTATGTGGGGGGGGGGGGGGGGGACAAATGAACGTTGCCCTCCCCTAGTAAAAATTTTAAGATTTACTGTAATGCACCAGTTAGCCATTGTCATGCACTCATATGCACCACCAATTAAACTTTTTGCACCCCCTTCCTTCAGTAGTTACAACGATTTCTTTGTCGTGAATTTATCCTTCAACCATAATGATGTTTTTGCAAAAAAAAACTATTGCACTGGTATGCACTTCTGATGCACTCATATGCACTTCTGATGCACTCATATGCACCACCAGTTAAACTTTTTGCACCCCCTCCCTTTAGTAGTTATAGCTATTCCTTTACCGTGAAGTTAGCCCCACGCAATATTTTTTAACACGCTTATATTAGCTTCACCTGTATGTATGTTTGTAACTCTCCTTTGGACTCAAGTGGCTTATTACTGTCAGTATATTCCACCAAGTCAAGTTCGTTCGTGGTCAAGCGGTCTAACGCGCGGGTTTTCGATTGCCAGACTCACCGATCGCGGGTTCTAATCTAATAATAATTAATCGAACTAAAGAGTAAAAAATAAATATAGTTTTAAAAAACTAAAAAACACGCTTTTATAATACATCGAACTAAAAAATGAAAAATAAATATAGTTTAAAAAAACTAAAAAACACGCTTTTAGAGCATATCAAATTAAAAAGTTAAAAATAATTTTTCAAATAATTTTAAAACAATAATAAATGGAAAATACTAGTATTATTGTGAAAAAAGCGTGGGGCGCTTTGTTCATATTTCTCGTACATCGAGCGACCGACGCTTTTTTTGTAATGTAAAAGTCCCTCAGGCTTAAGAATTAAGCCCTATAATTTTTTTCCTAAAACTAATAATAAATTTTCCATAATATGCTGTCAACTTAAGTAGAAACATTGTTTTCATTTAAAATTCCCGCGTATCCATGACCTATCCCAATGTTTATCAGATTAATATGGTTACTAACGCAAGAAGAGACCATTTAAAAAGAAGAAGATACAATTAAAAAGAAGATCTAAGCGATCTGAATTTCCGGTTCTGTGAGCGCCGTGCACAGTGCCCTCGGTTGGTGCCTTTTATAGAATCGCCCAGTCAAATTTTGCCGAACCAATTATTTACATTGAGTTGCCCGTCTCATAGTTGTCTCCAGGGCTGCCGCGGAGTTATTTAGAAATGTACTAGAAAATTCGAGGAAAATGTACTAAATTGTACTAAATTTTAGGTGGACTGTCAGTTGTCAAAATTGTCACGTATTTTGTCAGTTGTCATGTCAAATTTTGTCGAATGTCAACTGTAGAATGGATGGACGTTATTTGTTTTTGTTGCTTATATACTTTGAAAAATTGGAATTGAAATATACCACTGTAATATACCGATTCGTTAATATGTATATAGTTTTGTTTTAAATTTTATTATTTTAATCAAGTTTAAAGGCAAGTTTTTATATGTTTATCAAGGTAGGTAAAAATAAATTGTACGATCATAAACCAGTCACTGACACCAGGATTCTGCGCAATAGATAATTTGGTGGTTCCAATAATCTACTGCGCAAAATCCTGGAGTCGGTGACGGGTTTCTGATCGTTATTAGAATAGACCTTATGTAAAATCCCTTTTCTTTAGGGAAAATACTGCCAATATTTACAATACTTACCCTTATATCGGAAAACTTTGGCTTTCTATCATAGATGGTGCCACAAAGACGATCAGTATTTCAAATTGTACTAAATTGTCCCTGATTTGACTTAAAATGTACTTTTGTACTTTGCCGTGAGAAATGTACTAAATTTAGTACAATTGTACTGAAACGGCAGCCCTGGTTGTCTCTGATCTACTAGAATATCTAAATACAATAGTGATACTTTGCCGCTTGAAACAGAAAGTTGGCCGCGCGACGGTTAGCGCTCAAAAGGTACACAAGATTTTTCTACGATCACATTATTTTAATAAATAGATATAAAAACTGAAAATGTGTACTTAGTAGTATAAAATGTGTTGCCTATGTCTAAATTAATCATGAAAAACGAAGTTGATATTCAAAATCAATTTTAACTTGAATAGAACAATAAAACATCAAACTACGTACAAATAACTTAAAAATCATTTATTAAAAAGAAATATTATTATAGTATATCTAATTTAAATTAGGCGAACAACAAAGCTGTGAAGTTTTCTGCTCGGCGAGCGACAAAGCTGTCACTTAATGCCAGTTAGCGGAAAACGTCAACTTTGCGGTTGTATTTCGAATTGCAAAAGCCTACTTTGGATAGTGATCATAGAAGAATATTTTTTTTTAATTTATCCAGTGACGTGATAATAGGCTTGGTAGCATCTTTTACCTACTATTTTTTACGTCACTGGAGGAAATATATATTGTTTTTAAATTTATCTAGAAGTATTTATTATGTTTTCCTTTTTTTTTTCAGTTGGTTCCTTCCATTTTTCAAATTCGGCTACTCGAACGATGTAAAGCTGACAGATTTATACAATGCGACCAAATCAGATTTATCAGGGCCATTGGGCGACCATTTACAAAGGTAATTGCTGTTTTTAAACTTTTAAATCGAAGTAATAAAAGCAAAATCGAGATGTAGTATTGTAACAAGTAGTCGACTTGGCTGACTACTTTCACAGTATCTTTTCGATTCCCTCACTTAACACACATGAGTGAGACAGAGAAAGAAATAGAGAGAGATACAGAGTAAAATACAGAAAGACAGAGAGAAAGAAAGTGAAATACATAGAGAAAGAGAGAGGGAATGGGAAAGAGAAAGTGAGTGATAGAAAGAGATGGAGAACAATAGTTTTAAGTATAAAAGAGTCTAAGCAATGAACTGGAGTGGGGTAGAATGCTTGTCAGTAGGCTTGAGATGCGACTCTATGGGCGCAGACAGGTTATTTGTCATCTCACTCGGGAGTATTTATAATAACCATTTCCTATTTCTCATTGTTATTGTCTGATCCACCAGTGGATTGAACAATAACAAAGTAAAACAGAAAATGGTTATTATAAATAGTCCCGAGTGAGAGTCGCATCTTTTTCTATTGATACAATATACGAATTGGCTTTCTACCCCTCTCCACTTCATTGAGTCTAAGTTACAAAATTGAAAAATTAATTAGTGGTTTTTGTGAGGTTATGTTTCCCATAAACTATACTTCAAATTAAAATTCGTTTATTACATTTTCCTGTACATTGTACATAAAATATTTTCTAATTGTTTCAGATACCTCTTCATTAAGTACACAAATTAATTAATGTTTTATTGTCGTCATACAGCCATTATTTCTATTATTAGAAAGCCCAGTCAATCATTATCGATCTAATATAATGATTTTTTTTTGGAATTACACTTAAAAGCCGTTTGTCACGATACTAATTTTAGAACGAAATTATTATATTTTTTAAATTCTAAAATAATACACATTACAAACAGAATAATCAGTAAGTACTAAATTTAGTTACCAAAATATACAATAATCAATTAGGGCTTGTATTTTTTAATAAATTTACGACGAAAAATTGGTCGAACTGTTGCGCAGAATTTTTTCAAGAGTTGAAACGTTGATAGTCTGTTGCAATTTGTAGTAGAAAATCGTCTCGCTTTACACATGAAGGAAGGTTGTGTATTAGCCGGAACAGGGACGGTGCTCCCAAATAGACTTTAAAAAGGACCACGCACTTTTCTTAGGCAAACGGGAGTACCGTCAAAATGTCTGAATTTTTAATATATTGAATTACTTGATGTTCCCATCAAAAATGTCCATGGGCCCAATTGTATCCTATGACTAGATTTTGAGATACAGAGTGTTAAAGTTAGAAATCCCTAATTCTTTAAAATGGACGCCATAAATCATCCTTAAATATTTTTGGAAGTTATTCGCTTATTCTGTCTAGTCAAAATACATACTTAACTACTATAATTAAAATATTGTCACTTACAGGGTGATTAATGATTCGGTCAAAGTAGGTATTTCCACCGAACAAAAATAGCTGAAATACCGAAAAAAACATCACCGTCAAAGTCTCTCAATATTTAATATCGTATAGTACTCGATGTACTCATTCAAAATTCTTATTGGTAAAATTGGATCCCATGACTAGTTTTTCAAATACAACTATAACTATAACCAGTAGATAACAAATAAATGAATTTTAAACAATAAATATAACTGACATAAGTAGATATTTTCAATAGAAATATCTTATATTAAATATTTTAACACACTGTGTTAGATTAGGAATATACCTCTTGTACTATTTCGAAATGAATTATGATCGGATTACATGTTTATTTGGCTAGAGTATTGAGAAGACATAAATACTTTTAATTTAGAAGAATTTAAATATTTAACTTCAATTTCTAAAGAGAAGTTTTAAGTATATGAATTTTGTGAACCGATAGAACAATAAGGTAACTTAAGAAACAATGCTCAAAAAGATTTACTCGTTTTCCTTGTCAGATAAGTTCATAAAATTACTTTTTAATTATTCATCTCGACAAGTCACTAATATAGTCATATCTAATTTCCGTATGTCCCTGCTTCAAAGATTTGTACCTAGTAATATTGGATTTAGATCAATAACCAGAGGAAATTATATCATAAATCATGTCCCTGAATTCGTAAACACGCTTTACAACCCTATAGCATATACTCCAAAGGCCATATTTTATGTCGATTTTACATATAACCCAATTGAAAAAAGTAGTAATTTTAGAATATTACGTCAGTCCTATTGCTATTTTAAGAAGGAACATTTAGTTAAGCCGGAAATTACAGTAGCTCCTGACGGATATATTTTATCAATCAATGTTCCCTATTTTTCTGATGCATCTAATAATGATGCAGCAATCTTACGGCAATAGTTGGCTAATGATAATAATAAATTTAAAAACTGGATTACATAAGAAGATATAGTAATAGTAGATAGAGGCTACAGATATATTATTCCTAGATCAGAAGAACTTGGGTTAATTACTTATATGACACCTTTGCTTCATCAAAACCAACTGCAATTATCAACAAGTGAAGCTAATAGAGCGAGACTATTTTTTTTTTAATTTCTCACTCCTAAGGACCCAGCTAAATATTTTATTTTTTCACTAAATTTCATATAGGATATAAACAACATAAAAGACAATTTTTCACACTAGCCAGAATTAATTTTTGTTTAGTAATTTTTGACCTACCCTCTTATACAAGCAGTGCAATAGTCCTGTAGATGCTAACACTTAAAACAAAATGTATTAGGGCTTTATCTCATTGGTGACATGGAAAGGAGATCCCAATCTGATATAAATATACAATATAAAGAGGCAATGCTACAGTCAAAATAAACCTGTAATCTGATCATTATTCATTTCCCTGGATTCTACTTATAATACTTATAATAAACTTTTTTGAATGAAATAATGTATGACCCTGTATGTGAACTAATAAGATTTTTTTGATAACTCGCAAGTTAAAAGGCAATTATTTTCTATTTTTTGCCGACAATTTCAACATTTTGTTGATTTTTTTACCTTACATATTCAATCGTAATCACCCTGTAAGTACGAAATATTTTGACTGCCCTCAAATAGTACAAAGGGTATATTTCTAATCCAACACAGTGTGTCAAAATATTTAATATACAGTATTTCTCTGGAACATATCTACTTATATCAGTATATTTATTGTTTAAAATTCATATTATACCGGGTGTCCGCGCGAAAACTTTAAATGGAATTATTTCTGGTGTTTTAAAATATATCGACTTGAAATTTTGGAAGGTCATTAAGGAAGTAGGGGGTAAATTAATAGTGTATAAGATACCACTCCAACGTGATATCTGCCGCCCCAGCCACCCCGGTTCAAAAGTTTAAATGACACCCTGTATTTTTTTTACATATTCTGAAAGAGCTTAGTTTTTTTAGTATCTCTATGTGAAAAAATTACTTAATTACGTAATGAACTTTGAAAGATATTTACAGCTAAAGGTTCAGATACCAGATATTCAAATATCGAAAGCAAAAAATAATAGCAAGCCATGAAAGCTGCTTCGTTGCTTGAACTGTCAAATAATATTGTTTGTGACACTTCTGTTTACTCGTTAGTACAAAAGTTTTCGAAACAATTTGACTTAGTTTAAATTAAATAGCTAAAAAAATAGAAAAATAGTTTACAGTTTGGAAGAAAGAACTGAAATTGTAGTTTTATATGGGATTGCAAACAGAAACTATTCGCAGACGGCAGCATTATTTAACGAAAACCATCCCAACAAAAATGTATCTGCTGTTTATGTAATTAATCTAATACAAAATTTTTTTGAAACTGGATCGGTAAATAATAAAAAACGTGATATGAATAATCGTGGAGCACGAGATGAAGCAACGCAAGTTGCAGTTCTTGGTCACGTAAATTTAGACCCACAGCTTTCAGTTAGAAAATTATCAGAAGCTTCGAGAGTGGCAAAAACAACGTGCCATAAAATATTAAAATTAAATAAAATGCATCCTTATAAAATAGAGCTTCATCAAGAGTTGGGCGACGATGACTTCGATAGAAGAGTCCAATTTTGTGAAACTATGACAGGCATGATTCGGCAAAATAGAAATATTTTGCGAAATATTTGTTTCAGTGACGAAAGTTGCTTTTCCTTAAATGGTTTCGTAAATAGACACAATTGTCGATATTGGAGCGATGTTAATCCCCACGTTTTCCGAGAAGGCCATACGCAACGTCCCCAAAAAATTAATGTATGGGCTGGAATTCTAAATAACCAAATAATTGGTCCAACTTTCTATCACGGGAATTTAACTGTGCCTAGATATCTCGAGTTTTTAGAAGAATTAATACATCCTCTTATCATTCAGTGCTTGGAAGAAAACTTAGATCAAATGCAGGAGGATCAGTTATACTTTCAGCAAGACGGAGCTCCCCCTCATTACTGTTTAGAAGTAAGGCAATATTTAAATACCGTTTTTCCAGGACGTAGGTCGTAGGGATCCTATTGAATGGCCAGCTCGCTCCCCAGACTTGACCCCACTGGATTTCTTTTTATGGGGACATTTGAAGTCTGTTGTTTACAGGACACCACCACAATCCATTGATGATTTGCGTAATAGAATCATAGAGGAATGTAGAGATTTAACACCACATGTCTTTGAAAATATTCGGAACGCTTTCGAGAATAGACTGTACTATTGTTTAAATGTAAACGGTGAACATTTTGAACATTTGATTTAACTAAAAAAATAAAAAGAGTCCTTACTTTAGTTTATAAAGCGAAATTTTGTTGGTCTATAAGAATACCTATTTTTGTGATAAGTTGTATTTTTTTGTGACAAGTTGTATTTTTTTGTGATAAGTTATATTTTTTTGGATAATTAGATTTTTTTGTTTTTATCTGCTTTAATTATTTCGAAATTTGTCTACTGTCCAAGGTTACTAATTCTTTTTTTTTAATATCTGGTATCTGAACCTTTAGCTGTAAATATCTTTTAAAGTTCATTATGTAATTAACTAATTTTTTCACATAGAGATACTAAAAAAA